ACTCTCCACCTTGACCTTGATTCACCAAAGTAAACTTGTCAACCAAAACCAAATCTGACCTTTGCCCATCTCTAATCTCTTCCAAGACACCACTAGTAAGCTTCATCATACCAAGCTTCACGCCAAAATAAGTCTCTTCACACACCAAACTCAAATCTCGAAATTGCTCCAACAATTCCCATTCTTTAACCATCAACATAGACATGTGTAAAGACTTTCTGCTCAAAGCATCTGCAACCACGTTTGCCTTACCAGGATGGTAATTCAAACTAAAGTCATAATCTTTAAGAAACTCTAGCCACCTTCTTTGCCTCATATTCAACTCTTTTTGATCAAACAGATATTTCAAACTCTTATGATCGCTAAAGACGTCGAATCTCGACCCAAACAAATAATGCCTCCAAATCTTTAACACAAAAACCACCGCTGCCAACTCCAAGTCATGAGTTGGATAATTCCTCTCATGCACCTTGAGTTGCCTCGAAGCATACGCCACAACCTGCCCATTTTGCATTAACACACCTCCTAAACCCATCAAAGAAGCATCGCAATAGACCGTAAACGGTTCAGATGGTTTAGGCAAAATCAAAACTGGCGCAGTTGTCAACCTTCTCTTCAACTCTTGGAAACTATCTTCACACTGCGGAGTCCACACGAACGCTTGACTCTTCCTAGTCAATTGCGTCAACGGTAAAGCTAGCTTGGAAAAGCCTTTAATGAACTTACGGTAATAACCCGCTAAACCAAGAAAGCTTCGAATCTCAAAAACTGACTTTGGAGATTCCCATTCTGACACGGCTTCTATCTTCGAAGGATCCACAGTATAACCTCCACGAGATATCACGTGACCAAGGAAACTCACTTGTTCTAACCAGAATTCGCACTTCGAAAGTTTAGCAAACAAATGATTTTCCTTCAGAATTGACAAAACAATTCCCAAGTGTTCGGCATGCTCTGCTTCACTCTTGGAATAAATCAAAATGTCATCGATGAACACCACCACAAACTTATCCAGAAACTCATGAAAGATTCTTTTCATATACTCCATGAACACACCAGGTGCATTCGTAACACCAAAAGGCATCACCGAATACTCATAGTGTCCATAACGAGTTCTGAACGCAGTTTTCTGAATATCACCCGCTTTCACGCGAATCTGATGATAGCCTGACCTCAAGTCAATCTTGCTAAACACACACGCACCCACCAGCTGATCCATTAAATCATCAATCCTTGGCAAAGGATACTTGTTCTTAATGGTCACTTTGTTTAGCTGCCTATAATCCATACAAAGTCTCATTGTTCCTTCTTTCTTCTTCACAAGTAAAACTGGAGCACCCCACGGACTCACACTAGGACGAATAAACCTTTTGTCAAGCAACTCTTCTAGCTGACTCTTCAGTTCCACTAGTTCCGACGGTGACATCCTATAAGGAGCCATCGAAACAGGACTAGTACCAGGAATTAAGTCGATGGAAAACTCTACCTCACGCTCAGGAGGTAAATCCGTAATCTCTTCAGGAAACACTTCAGGAAATTCGCATACCACAGGATAATCCTTTCTTACTCTACCATCTTCTAAAACCATACTCGCCATAAGCATAAACAACCCATCTCCATTCTTCACGCTCTTCTCAACTTGCTGTGTAGACAAGAAAACCACACCATCTTTCTCGGACTCGAGAAAAAGAACAGCCTTAGCAAAACAGTTGATATAGACATGGTTGGATTTCAACCAGTCCATACCCAGAATCACATCAATCTGATGCAAAGGAAGACACACGAGATCAACTTCGAAATCTCTTCCGCACATGCGCAAAGGACACTTCAAACAAACAACTGAAGTAGAAACTGAACCCATCGCAGGTGTATCTACCTTCATACTTCGATCCAAAGTAGACAAGACAAGGCCCAATCTCTTGGCACAATCTAAAGCAACAAACGAATGCGCCGCACCCGTATCAATAATAGCAACCAAAGACACATTAGAGATAAAGCATGTACCTCTGATTAGACGTTCCTCAGCAGAAGTCTCTGCTCCAGATAAAGCGAATACTTTTCCAACTTCTTTCTTTGGCTTTGGACATTTGGTACTTATGTGGCCTCGCTCACCATAATTAAAGCAAGTTACACTCACACCAGCTCTACAATCCACCACTTTGTGACCCACCCTATCACACTTGAAACACTTAACTATCCCCTGGCGACATTCCATAGCACGATGTCCCTCTTTACCACATTTAAAACATTTGATTGGAGTAGTCACTCCCCCACTCGGACTCTTTCCACTACTTATTGGTCTCTTTCCTCTTCCATCATAAGGCTTAGGACGCATTTGTCCCTTACCTCTTTTCTCACTCAAGCTCTTGTAATAAGCAGTGCTATCCCGACTGTCTTCGTCGTAGATACGACTCTTATTAACTAACTCAGAGAATCTTGTAATCTGCTGATACCCAATCGCCTTCTTTATGTCCGGCCTCAAACCATTAACAAACTTAAGGCACTTCGACCTCTCAGCATTAACAGTGTTGTAGTGAGGACAGTATTTGATCAAATCTTGAAATTTAGCCGCATAGTCAGCTACCGAACCACTACCTTGTTTCAATTCCAGGAATTCAACTTCCTTTTTACCACGAACATCCTCCGGAAAATAATTCTCCAAGAATGCATCTCGGAAAATTTCCCAAGTCACCACAACCTGCTCCTCCTCATACCTCTGACTAGCGTTGATCCACCAGTCTTCGGCCTCTTTAATCAGCATGTGTGTTCCGAATTGCACTTTCTGAGCGTCGGTGCAATTCATCACACGAAAGATTTTCTCAATTTCTTTTAACCATTCTTGAGCTTCCAACGGAGCATGCTCTCCCTTGAAAGTAGGCGGGTTGTTCTTTTGGAACTTCCCAAGAGCACGGAAAGCATCTTCAGTACCATCATGTGGCGCTTGAGTCGTTTGCGGCATCTGATTTATTGACCCCGCAAGCAACCTCAATGCCTCAGCTAAAGCATCATCATTCCTTCTACCAGCCATCTTCTCTCTCTCTACAACACAAAGTATTGATCGCGTTAGCCACACAATCAAATACAAGGGATTAACAAAAATTAAGACCTGACAACTGACCGACTATGCTCTGATACCACTAGTGTAACACCCCTTCTAAATACCCCAATTAAAGGTAAAGATTAAAATCAGAGAAAATAAATTGCACGAAAGGGATGTCACAACACACATCACATTCCAAAATTTTAAAGAAAAACGGACAGGGTACGTTTGTAAATTTAAGCATATCAACACAAAACAAACATACATAAATATTTAACCTCTTTCTCTCGTGCAAACGCAACGGAGTTTCAATATTTAACTTCATCTCCATTCATGGAGGAATCAAAACATAATTCAAGGCATCAAGCCATAATAATTCACATCAAGCATATGTTATCAAGTCTCACATACACAAAATAATAAACACAAAGTAAGGATTATATACATCATAATCCGAATACAAAATAGACGAGTTCGACACTAAATATACCCCCCCCCCCAGGTGTTACTACCAGAGCATCGACTCGACTCTAATCAAAATAAAACAGATTGCAATCCAATGCATCCGCTAACTAACGCCTCGCGCTACCATCCTCGGTACCTGAACAATGCCATCAAAAGCATTTTCAAACAGAAGGGGTAAGAATTCCAATAATCATATAACATGTAATTAAGGTAAAGCAATGGCAATAAATAAAGCAACACATCATGATCATATTCTTTTTATCACATATAGTATCCGTACTCAAGGAAGTCATTTCCAACACGTTAACCATATAAACCAATTATCCGAATACTCACATCATTGGCACATAACCATTATTCAAACAACAACAATATTGGCACATAACCAAACACATCAACACAAATACACCATATACACAATTATGCATGTGACTCACAACACGACTCAACACATGCGAATGCGGTACCGACTTGTGGACCCAAGGTTCCACCACCTATGTTTCCCTTCCGGATCAAGGTCACTACGTCTTTTCCCATAATAGGGTCACCATCTAGATATTGTGGACCCAATGTTCCACCACCTATGTTTCCCTTCCGGATCAAGGTCGCTACGTCTATTCCCACACTAGGGTCACCGTCTAGATATTGTGGACCCAATGTTCCACCACCTATGTTTCCCTTCCGGATCAAGGTCGCTACGTCTATTCCCACACTAGGGTCACCGTCTATAAAATCATGTAATCCACAGTTTCACCGTCTCTGTTTCAAGACCAACCATGCCATGCAATGTACAATATAACCAATGTATGCAATTAAGATCCACAATAATCTTAACATACACATACCATCAAATCCAACCAATGGAACATCAACTATTGTACATGCATGCATACATATAATTTAACAATCACAACGTCAAGTAAAATGTATACAAACAAGTTACTTACTCAACCAAAACATAAACCATCAACTATCAAACAATTCCAAATCGGAAAGTATATTTCAACATAAAGTCATCATCAATGAACCGGCATTACTCTCAATGTTACTCATCGCGATCGAGTCACCGGAATGTAACTCGAACGGTTAAATTCGGGATTAAACTCAATTTATTTCATTTCGTACTAAAATCGGGTCGATTCTTAAAAAGTCGAAATTTCACAAAACGAACTTCACTATGTTAATCTACACGTCGAATTATGCTAGCACGTCAATTTTCGTTAAATTCGGAGCAACTTGCTCCATCACCGAAATTGCCGAAATCGAGAAATCGGAACATAATCGGGTTCCAAATTAAATCGGCTAACTTATGCCATATTTGTATTTAATTAATATAAATATTTAATATATTAAATTAATAAAAAAAAAACAAAACAAAACATAAATTAAATAATTAATTAATTTTTCTAAACTTATTTCCATTATACTGCATGTTTACATTTTTTTTCTCTAAGCTAGTGCATAGTTCTTGTTTTTGTTTAGCTTCTTCAAAGCTTCAACATCCATCGATAGCCTTAGTCTCCTTAACCTTGGCTTCAAGAGATTCTTGTTGGGAAACAAGTGTAGGAAACTTTCCTGCCTTGTTTAGACCAGGACCCAACAAACGTGGAATCTGCTTGATAACAGCTTCAGAAGCTAAAAAAAAAGCATGGTGCTTCTTTGCCAATTTCTTCACCAGTTTCTTGTTTTTACTGAAATCCATTTAATCAATACACTTCAAGCATAGATTTCTAAACTTAATACAGTAAACATACTTCTAGCTTTTATAACTTAACTGCTAACTTAGAAAAGAGATATACTGCTACTGCATAATTTTGTTTTTAGTTTTCAAAACTTAATTTAATTAATATAATCTCTATTTTCTTTTTAATTCCAATTTAACTAATCTAATACTAATTCAACAACAACAACACCTAATTAACTCTTCTAATTTCTATCACAAATCCTCAACAAAACTAAAAAAAAACCTAACATCAAATTTTTTTTTCCCAAATCCAAAATATATCAAATCAAACTCTAACTATAAGCATTGGAAAATCAAACCCCTTACCTTGGTGTGGGTTTTCTTGAAACAAGATGATGATGATGTTGCAACTTCAAACCTAGCTTCCTTTCTTCTCTTCTCCTCTTTCTCTCTTCTTTTCTTTCTTCTTTCTCTTTCTATTCTTACCAACTATCCTACTTTCTATCTTATAAAACAAATTTTACTACTACTTACTTTCCTCCCCCTAACTTTCTAAAATTCTAAATTGGCCCAATCTATTTAATTCAAATTATATCATATAATTCTATTAAAACCATATTACATTTAATTAATATTTATTCCATAAAAACTAAATTATACCGATAAATCAAACGAAGCCCAATACACACCAAAATAATATTACTCAAAATAGTATTTTATCATTATGAATATTTTTATTTCAAATAACCGAATTAACATTTTAATTGATATCAAATAAATATATTTCTTAAAATAGATTTAATTTGATAATTTCGGAAAAAAAATAACTTAAATAACATTTAATCAAAAACGGGGTGTTACATAAATCCTCTTACCGGTCATAAATAGCTCTGTAAATCCAGACGAAGAGCTTCCAATCAGGTGGTTGAAAAATGGACCAGACAAGGTCCCCAGAAACATATCCACAAGCTCCCGATCAGCCAAGGGTGGTTGTACTCTTCCGGCGAGGTCCCTCCACTTCTGAGCATAATCTTTGAAACATTCACCCGTTCCCATTGACATACCCTGGAGTTGGGTACGCGTGGGAGCAAGGTCGGAGTTGTATTGGTACTGCCTGTAGAAAGCAGTAGCCAAATCTTCCAAACTGCGGATACTGGCTCCGTCCAACTGGTAGAACCATTCAAGCTGAGTCCCTGAGAGACTGTCTTGAAAGAAGTGGATCCATAAGTTCTTATCAGCGGTGTACGGCTGAATCTTCCTTACATATGACCGGAGGTGCAGCTTCGGACAACAAACTCTGTCATACTTAGCAAAGGTTGGTGCCTTGAACTTGTGGGAAATCACTACCCCAGATGATAGACCCAGATCACCAAAGTCCAGACCAGGCACTTTCTGAACTTCCATCGCACTTAACCAATCTTCCAATAGTTTGTATCTATCCTCAGCAGGAGGATACTGGTCTTCGTCGAAGTCCGTCTCGTTGTCTGATACCACAGGGCTAGGAGCCTTCCTTTCTTCCTGACTATCTTTCCCTCCAGATGAGGTGGTCAAATCAACTTCATCCCGTAGCCTGTTTCCAAACTGGTGACCTGTGTTAAACAAGACTGTCCTCTTCTTCTTCTTCTTCTTCTCTTTCATAATCAGGGTCTTCAGATCTTGCTGACCCTTAGCTAGATTCATGAACAGTTCTTGGAATTGGGCATTCTGGGCCTGTAGGGCCTTGATTGCTTGCTCACTTGATGGTTCAGCAGACATGATGAGTGCTGAAATAAACAGCGAAGAAGATAAGTGACCTGTAACGCGTACCTGCTATGAAGTGCATGGGATGAAATGCGTATGATATGATTTCAAAGACAGTCGGGAGATTCAAATTTGTAAACAAGAAATGAAACACCCTTTATTAGATAAAATTTAAAATTCAAATTGTTCAACAGATGCCCTTAAGGCGTTACAAGAATGGAAATACTGAAAAGTAAATAAAAATTGGAAAGAAATAAACAAAGGACAATCAGTGCTCCCATGGTCTCTTCTTGTCGGTGCGGACATAGTCATTGAGAATCCGCTCGTTCTCCAGTTGCCTAGTCAACTTCTGGATCTTCTGCTCTTGCTCGTTAAACTTTTCTCGATAAGCATCCTGTTCTTCTCTCAGCTGCATCCAAGACCTTTTCAGTGCCCCAATGTCAGTGGGCATGTAAGGGTGGAGGATGGTAGGAAGAACCCCCTCTTCATTAGCAGCTTCAACAATGATAGGTAGGACGTCTTCATATGGAATACCCTGTTAGTCACTAAGCACACGCCACTACCACTGCACCAACGCGTTTTAATTGTTATAGTATTCAATAATAATAATAATAATAATATGAGAAACAAGTTAATAGATCAGAAAATATAAAAATAAAGCGCGAATTTTTGAATGAGCGAATTGGAAAGGGCCACGTCTTCGTCTTCTCCATTGAAACCTGGATATTTACCTTCGGATTTGTATCCGCAGCTATATTCGCATATGCATTCCAAAATCTATTCTAGGCCATTAAAACCAACCCCAAGACCATGGTCGTGCTCGTCTGGGCATCCTGAGCACATCTATGTCCATTATTTGCACTGATTTGGCCTGAAAATGAAACGCCCAAAAAAACAATCCAAGAACCCTAGATTTGGCTAGGGGATTATAGCTCATATAAATGCAATCAAATAATGCAGAAAGCTTAGAAATTGCACAAGCATCATGAATATGCCAATAATTTGTCAAGAATATGCAAGAACATGGAGTTTCGATTTCAAATGCAAGGCGGTATTTTCAGAGACTTACAGCGCTTTAGAACATGTATGGGGATTGGTTTTGAGTTGGTTCTGCTTCAAGGATGGTCCAACAATTGATTCACGTTGAGCTTTGCCTTTGAATTCGCCTCTAGGAGTGATTTCAGTTTCAAGCTTTTTGCCAATTTTCTCAAGTTTGGTTTTTGTATTCTTGCAGCTTCTAGGTCTTGAGTTAGTATCCTTTGGCTTGTATATGTATGCAGCATTGGATTAGGTCAACAATTTGGACCTGAATCTTTGCACAATAATGTTTGGAGATATGATTTGATTCACCATTGATAACCTTCCAATTTGGTCCAAAATCCAATCTTTTTGCACATGGAATGGCTGATACGAGTTTCATCATGATCATGATGATAATTAAGACCTATAACAACCAAAAATATCCTAAGTAATAAATATTTGGATTTTATTTGATTTAAATTGATTTAAAATGAATTAATTCAATAAAAAATCAAATAAAATAGAAAAATTAATAAATGGACACAAGACTGAAGCTAGGACACGTGTGGAGTGTGACAAGATCAAATCAAGTGGAAAGAAATGGTCCCATTTGACAAAATTTGAAGTTTTGGGGATAGTTGACTTTTGGGAATTTTGCAAAAATGCCCAACTTCAACAAGGCATAACTTCTTCAATTCTGAACTTTTGGAAGTGTTCTTGGACTTTTTAGAAATCCTAAGATGTCCTCTAGCCAACCCTTTTTGTCTCATATAATTTTGATATTCCATGCTCAAGTTACAAGATTTGGAAAAAAAAGGTGTTTTTGTTGACTTTCAAAAATGACCTATAATGTCCAAATTTGTAAAATTTTGTGAGTGCATTTCTTGATCTTGGGGTATGAGGATGGATTATAGGAAATTTCATCCTCTTCAAAATGAGATTTGGATGGGTCATTTCTCATAAAGTATGAGAAAGTTATGCTTGGTCAAATTTGAGTTGACTTTTTCTACAAAACCCTAATTTAGCAACTTTTGAATCTTGATGAATTTTGAGTAATCCTTGATGAATCATGATCAACCCTTGATAAAATGATGAAATATCCTTCAAAATGAGAATGTTGACAAAAAATCTTGAAGTTTGACTGTATTTGGGTCACATTTGACTTTTGCCCTATCAAAGTCGATTTTTGGACCTCTTGAGCAATTTACTGGCCAAATTTCCTCTGCAAGGCTTGAAATTTGGCATGGATGAACTTGAGAACATATTAGGACATTGGGGAGCCCTTGAGGTCATTTGGATGCAAGGACCTTGATGCAACACAAAACCCTAATTTGAGGATGACTGCCTTAGGAGATGATTTGACCGTCCAACTCTTGAGCAATCTTGAGTAACTTGGAGATTATTCTTGCAATGTCTTTGGAAATATGAGAGGGTAAATTTTGTGGTACAACACCAGTCAAAGGCTACACAAGAGGTCCAGTCGAAAGAAGCAACTTGAGGCCAATCGCAGGCTACAAAAGAGGTCCAATCGATAGAAGAAACTTGAGGCCAGTCGAAGAGCAACACTAGAAGGAACGAAGGAGCAAAAATATCCACATGCATTCAAATTAAAAAAGGGATAGGTTTCCATGACTTTTGTAACGTTACAAAACTGCATTCATGGCCTTGAAAACATTTTTTATGGAAGTTTAAATTGTTGTCTTCTTGTCCCCTCCCTTCTACTACATATAAGCAGCGTGCTTACAAGCCAAATGGAGGGTGATACACACACAGTGGAGATACACTGCCTCATAAACCCACCAAAGTTATCAAAAATCTCATACGTGATCCAAATCAAAGCAACCCTTAAACAAAGGTACCCACGTTCATAAGCCAAATCGAAGCAATCATCAAACAAGGGTACCCACATCCATCATCACATATTCACCCATCAATCATTGGAAAGAATTGGTAAAAAGATAAATCTCTACATTTGCATGACACATCAACACTTGTAGTTCCATTCAATTTATTTTTCAAGAATAAAGATCTGGGTTCGACCCTAGGTCTGCATTAGTTTTTGCTGCTAACACTTGCTGCAGATGTATCCTGAATAGACCCAATGCGTGCAGAATCGAAAGACCTGGGTTGGTCACCCAGGTCATGCTTTTCGTTTTTCCAACATGTTTGTAGATGTAGTGCCCTCAAAAGTGATCCATCAGGAAATTCCAGCAGTGCCCTCTAGATCGAAAGCCACATCCTGTCATTTGATCAAAGGG